TGCTTTTCTTCATTATACATTCCTTTGTGAGTGATGAGCTTAAGATGTGGCAAGAAATAAGTTGCTTAAATTTTAATATCAGTATTTTTTTAACCACTGATTTAGATAGCACTGAGGCTGGAAATCATTACACATTCCAAAGCGTTCTATATATTAAAACATTTGGGGACTTTTCAAACTGAGTATTTGATTTCTTTTGAAACTGAAAACAGTAGTTTTAATCATTGTGAATCATAAACTAATATTTCTTTTTCTTCTTAGATCCCAATTTTGTTCGGACATTTCTTACAACATACAGATCCTTTTGTAAACCTCATTTTTTTATATATATATTTAGATTTATTATTTTTATTTTATGTGTATGAATGTTTTGTCTGTGTATTCAAGAGTACTCTGTGTAGTGCCCTCAGAGGCTAGAGGAGGGTACTAGATCCCCTGGAGTGGAAGTTAACACATGGTTGTGAGCCACCTAGAAATCAAACCCAGGGCCTCTGAGAGATCAGTAAGCATGCTTAACTGCGGAGCCATCTCCCCAAGAGCTTTATTTATTTATTTATTTATTTTTTATTTATTTTTTTATTTATTTTTTTGGTCTTTTTGAGACAGGGTCTCCCTGTAGCCCCAGCTGTCCTGGAACTCACTATGTAGACCAGGCTGGCCTTGAACTCACAGAGATCTGCCTGGCTTCCAAGTGCTGGAATTAAAGGCGTGTGCCACCACGCCTGGCAAGAGCTTTATTTTTTAAAGGATATTAAGCAGAAATAGATGTTTCTCAAATATGTTAGATGAGCTTGAAATTATAGTTAAATTCTTTTAAGATAAAACTACTTCCTTTACAAAACATGTTAGCTTCAATTACTTAAATACAAATAGAGATTCTTTTTTTGTTGTTTTTTTTTGTTTTTTTTTGAGACAGGGTCTCCTTGTAGCCCCAGCTGTCCTGGAACTCACTATGTAGACCAGGCTGGCCTCAAACTCACAGAGATCTGCCTACCTCTGCCTCCTGAGTGCTGATTAAAGGCGTGCGCCACCATGGGATTCTTTTTTACACTCAAAACAGTATTTAAAACTTCAAATTGAGAATTAAACCTAGGGCCTTGAGCATACTAATCAAGCACTCTGACTCTGGGGTATATTCTGAACCTGAATTAATCAAGTTAAAGTATTGTATAAATATGTATAATTTAGACTCTAGACCTGGCATAGGAGCACATGCCTATAATCCCAGCACTTGGGAGGTGGAGGCAGGAGAATCAGAAATTCAAGGTCATCCTCTACTTCATATCAAGTTTGAAGCCACCCTAAACTACATGAGACCATGTCTTTAAACACACATACACATAGACAGATGAGGCCACCCTAAGCTATATGGGACCATGTCTTTAAACAGGCATACACAGAGACAGACAAGACACACACACACACACACACACACACACACACACACACACACACAGAGTTCAGCTAGAAATTCAGTTTTTGATGCTTGAAAAGTTATAAACAAAAGTTTTCAAATGCACTGTAAATTGAACAAAATGGAGCAAGGAAAATATTTCTCATCTACCCAAAGAACAGTCAAATTTTCAAGTACTGGCTACCATAATTATGTCTGCTAGCTGGGTGTGGTAGTGTACACCTTTAATCCCAGCACTTGGGAGGCAGAGACAGTTCTCTCTGAGATTGAGGCCAGCCTGGTCTATATAGTGAGCTTCAAGCCACCTGGGGCGGAGACCCTATCTCAAAAATAAATTATGTCTGCTGATTTAGATGTAATCTGCAAACTAAACTGAACCTTAGTCCCATAACTTTATAACACATACTTGTTTTGGATTTTGCGTGTATTTTTATTAGTTATTTCATAGTTCTAATTCTAACTATGTTGGCAATACTAATTTCTTTTAAAAATAATATAATTAGCCTTTACATTATCGAAGCCTTGTTGATTTTTCACTGGTGTGTATATCCTTAGTAATTTTTTATAGTAGTCTCTTGATTGTACTGACAAGTGAAAAAGTTTGTGAATTTGTATTTGTTTCTTTCCTTTTTTTTTTTCTCTTTTATGTTAGATTTGAAATACCAGAGCCTGAGCCAACAGAAGCTGATCGCATAGCTATAGAGAATGGAGATCAGCCCCTAAGTGCAGAACTGAAAAGGTTTAGAAAAGAATATATACAGCCTGTACAACTGAGGTAAGCATTAAAGAAATAACTGAAGTAAACAAATCTCATCAAACTTTTGTTTCAAAGTTGAAATATATAAGACTTTCCAAGCAAGAAGGAAAGCAAAATGAATAAATTAAGAGCAATTATTAGAAATCATTGTAATTCTTGGTTAACAGAATTTTGGAAAGTGGTAAACCACTGAGAAGATTATTTAATTTGGTAAGAGTGATTCTGTTTTCATTTGTATCAGTCATTTTGATATACGTTGTTTTGAGTTCTCACATAATTCAATTCTGTGTTAATATTAATGCCACAGAGTGTTAAATGTATGCCGGCACTGGGTGGAGCACCACTTTTATGATTTTGAAAGAGATGCAGATCTTTTACAAAGAATGGAAGAATTTATTGGAACAGTAAGAGGTATGTTTGTTCTTAAATGCCTATTTTCATATGTAATAAAAGTTACCAATATGGTTACCATCAATTGATTAGCTCATAGTTACTAAAAGATGTTTCCAAAAAAAGAGGAAAAAAGCCAGGCATGGTGGTGCACGCCTTTAATCCCAGCACTCGAGGCAGAGGCAGGTGGATCTCTGTGAGTTCAAGGCCAGCCTGGTCTACATAGTGAGTTCCAGGACAGCTGGGGCTACAGGGAGACCCTGTCTCAAAAAGACCAAAAAAAAAAAAAAAAGATGTTTCCAAATACCAGCACAGCCATTTGAAAAAGTTAAATTCTTTCATCAAATAACATTTAGACCTGTAAGTTGCTCAATAATCATCTTACTGACTCAACGTTTCAAAAGTCTGTTTAAGCTGGGCTACTTATCTGAAAATATGTATTATCTCTGGGCACATGTTGGAATTCTTTTGCCACTGTAACGCCATTGATAAAGGTGCTTAGTTAATAGAGCAAATCAGAGAGGTAAGAGAATGTGTTATGCTGGCAGTCTACTTTTTTTAGCTATTTATTTTATTTATATATATATGAATGTTTTGCCTGTATGTATATATGTGCAGTAGAGGTAAGAAGAGGTTGTCAGATCCCCATGTAACTTGAATTGCAGATAGTTGTGTGCTGTCATGTAGGTGCTAGGAACTGAACCCAGGTCTTCTGCAAGGACAGCAAGTATTTTTAACTGCTGAGCCATCTCTCTAGCCCCTTGACAGTCTGCTTTTAACACTACCACTAACCAGATACATAATTTTGAACAAAATCACTTTGATTTCCTTATCAAAAGCAATAGAAGCAAGGCTGGAGAGATGGCTCAGCAGTTAAGAGCACTGGTTGATCTTGTAGAGGACCCAGGTTCAGTTCCCAGCACCCACATGGAGGCTAACAACCATCTGTAACTCCAATCCAGGGTATTCGACACTCTGGCCTCCTCAGGCACTGCAGTGCAGGGGTGCACTTGCATACAAACCTAATAAAACTAACTAGGCTTGAGTATCTCCAAGGCTTCCCTTCTTGTTAAAAAATTCTGTGATTATATGGCTCCAGGGATGCCCTAAATACACTTGGTTTTGTTTCCATTGTACAGCCTAAATAAAAATCAGAAAATAAAGGGTTTAATATAATATGTTCATGTTTAGTACAAAACAGAGCCACATAAAAACTGAAACTAATATAAGGAATCAGTCCTCATAACTAGTTTAAAATACATTATTAATTAGACTAATTGTGAATGTATATGATCTACTCTTACTATTCTAGTTTTTGTGGAATACACCTTTGAGAGGAAGGATTATAAAATCATATTTTAAGGTTCAGAATGATGGAGATGAAAAATCTCCATTGATTACTTTTTGATTTTTGTTTAGATACATGCCAGACTATTAACAGTGGTCATCCATGTGGAAAAGAATAAGAAGGGGCTTGGGAAAGGAACTTTCAGTTTTTATTTTGATCATTTGAACTTTATAGCAATGATTTATTGAGGTATCACTTTAAACATTTTTTTAGCCTGGTCTACATAGTGACTCCAAGACAGCTGGGGCTACAGAGAGACCCCATCTCAAAAAGACCAAAAAAAAAAAAAAAAAGTATTTAAAAAAATTTTGGTTGTTTATGTGTGTAAGTATATTGCCTGCATTGTGTGTAAGTGCACCCATGTTGTGCAGTGCCTTTGAGATCAGAAGAGGGTACTGGATCCCCAGAAACTGGATCCAGGTGGTTGTTAGCCACCATGTGGGTGCTAGGAACCAAACCCAGGTCCTCTGCAAGAGCAGTCAGTGCTCTTAAACACTGAACCATCTCTCTAGCCCCAATACTTTATTTTTATAAAATAAATTTAAAAAAAAATTTTTTTTAATGGAGCTGAGCCATCTCTCCAGCACCAACATGGCAGCTAACAGCTGTCCATAACTCCAGTTCCAAGGAGATCTGACGCTCACCTTTGACCTCCACGGGCATTGTACAACATGGGGGCATTTACACACATGTAGGCAATACACTCATAATATAAAAATAATAGAGAAAATATTTTTTTAAAGAATAAAGTATTAAAGAGTATTTAAATGTTTGTAAAAATGTTTTTCAGGTAAAGCAATGAAAAAATGGGTTGAATCCATCACTAAGATAATCCAAAGGAAAAAAATTGCAAGAGACAATGGACCAGGTCATAATATTACATTTCAAAGTTCACCTCCCACAGTTGAGTGGCACATAAGCAGACCTGGGCATATAGAGACTTTTGACTTGCTCACCTTACACCCAATAGAAATTGCTCGACAGCTTACTTTACTTGAATCTGATCTATACCGGTATGTAATTTGACTTTCGAGCTAAGAAATGATTTCAAGTTTGTTTTTAAAATGTAATTTTTCTGCCTTATAGAGTTGTCATAAGATGTTAACTGAGACCTACAAGAAATGTTTAGTAAGTCATAAGGCATACCAGTCAGTTATGGTTCTTTTTGCTCCCCTGAGCCCCTTTGCTCTGCTCAAATTTGTGTTCTTTCCACATTTACCCCTAGTTGGTAAGCTAAGTTCAAATCCTGGCTTCACCAGTTGCTGACTTGAAGTCTCCTTGTGTAGTTTTGTCCTTCTACTTCTTTGTTTCCTCAAAAAAAATTGAGGCTAAAAATAGTACTAATTTCTAGGCCTTTGTAACTTCCAGTTACACATTGCTGAGCTCAAAATAAAAGCCCAATAACTGTTAGCTTCTACTGTGGTAAACTCTAGTTATGACTAGTTATAGCCTTTTTTAGTTAATTGTTCTTCATTGATTAAACTGTCCCAAAATATTTTTCTGGTTTTAAATTCTATTTAGCATCTCAAATTATTAATCACTAACTGAGAAAAGGAGGAAAATTTATAAATTCTCCTAAGTTCATCATGACCTCTAACTTATAATGTTAGAATTTATTTTGCTTGTTTCAAATGATTCTTTTGTAGTATGTTTTCTTTTCTATCCTTCTTAAGACTAAAATAATAAAATAACTATGAATTTTAGTGATTGCTGTACCCTTACTGGTTGCTTATCAGATACTATTTAAATAAACTACCTACTGTCCTAATTTATTAAATAATATTTATGCTAGGAAAGATATTATGCAGAAGTTTCAACCCTTCCTAAAGCAAATACTACTACAAAGCAATAAATGTACAAACACGGTGGCAAATGCCTATACTCCCAGCATCTGGGAGGCTGAGACAGAGGACTGCCATGTGTTCCAGGCTAGCTAGGCTATATAGCAAGTACCCAGCCAGTGCTATATAGGAAGACCCTGTCTCAAAAAAAAAGCAATAAATAAATAAATAAATAAATAAATAAATAAATAAATAAATAAATGGACAATGTATTACATAAGAATATCCACAGTAAGTTTTTTAAGCAGCCAGATGTGGCAACACTTTTTTTTTTTTTTTAATCTTGTAGCCCCAGCTGTCCTGAAAACTCACTATGTAGACCAGACTGGCCTCAACTAACAAGATCTGCCTGCCTCTGCCTCCCGAGTGCTGGGATTAAAGGGTGTGCACCACCACGCCCAGCCAGGGTGACACTTTTAATCCTAGTACTTGGGAGGCAAAGGCAGGTGGATCTTTGTGAGTTCCAGGCCAGCCTGGTCTATATAGCGACTTCCAGGTGGGCCATGAATGGCTACATGGTGAAACCCTGTACAAAAAAATTTAATTTGGGGAGTGGGTGTTGGTGGGCCCTGGAGAGAGAGCTTACTAGTTAAGAGCACTGGCTGCTCTTGCAGAGGACCCAGGTTTGATTGCCAACACTTACATGGTGGCTAACAACTGCCTGTAACTCCAGTTCCAGGGGATCCAACACCCTTTTCTGACTTCTGTGGGTATTGCATGACACGGGTGTACCTACCTACATGTACACATAACACTCATACACATAAAATAAAAATGCATTTTAAAAGTTAATTTTTAAAAAAATCTGTACAGAAAGATGCATAATTACAATTTTTTCTTTTATGTTCATAAACTTGGTAAAAGAAGAAAGTTTGTGATATAGGAGTTTAGTTTTTGTTTATGTAATAAAACTGTATATATTAGAAGGGAAAATATGATGTAGCATTTTATGTTGATGATTTTAGAGCTGTGCAGCCATCAGAATTAGTTGGAAGTGTGTGGACAAAAGAAGACAAAGAAATTAATTCTCCCAATCTTCTGAAAATGATACGACACACCACCAATCTTACTCTGTGGTTTGAAAAGTAAGTATTCTTGACATTTTGATTTGTAGTAACTGGCTGTTGGGTTCCAGTGCAGGTATACTGTGTGTCACATGTCTTGTTCTCCTTTCTTGTGCATGGAATATTTTTCTAATGTGCATTTTAATTTCACTAAAGGATGTTTCTTTGTATTTGAGTTTTGAATGATTGCCTTAGGGTTAACCATATACATCTTATGTATTAGACTAGACTGTAGACTTATAGTACCTTCATTCCAGTGACAGATATGTTACTCCTGGGGCTGGAGAGATGGCTAAATGGTTAAGAGCGCATATTACTCTTCCAGATCTAAGTTCAGTTCCCAGCACATATGTTGAGCTGCTTATAGCTGCCTGTAATAGGCTATAGAGGAGCTGAAGCCTTCCTCTGGCGTGAGCGTGTGTGAGTGCGTGCGTGCGTGCGTGCATGCGTGTGTGTGTGTGTGTTCCATAATACACACATACACAAAATAACAATAAAAAAAATTTTTTTTAAAAGAAATGTTTCTCCCATACATATTTATTGCTTTTCTCCCCTTTTTTTCGGTTTTGGAACACACCTAATTAATGGTGAAAATCTAGCAATACAATGTTACAAGTATTATTTTACCATTTATTGTTACCATCTTAATCTTTCACAGCTTTCCTCATCCACTCCTTGTGCTGTTATTGGCAATATATTAGGTTTCTATATTATAGACTCAAAAGTACATCTATGCGCATTATGCCTGTTGCTTTTTTTTTTGAGACAGGGTCTCCCCAGTAGCCCCAGCTAGCCTGGAACTCACTATGTAGACCAGGCTGGCCTCGAACTCACAGAGATCCACCTGCCTCTGCCTCCTGAGTGCTGGGATTAAAGGCATGCCCACCACGCCTGGCTAAAATGTGTAGCCCAGGCTGATCTTGTGATCCTCCTGCCTCTGCCTCTTCAGCAAGTCCTACTGGCGTGTGCCACCACAACCAGCGCCTGTTGCTTTTTAAATCAAGTTTGTTTGGTTTGGGTTTGTCTTTTTGAGACAGGGTCTAGAACTTACTTTGTAGACCAGGCTGGCCTTTAACTCACAGTGATACATCTGCCTCCCCAGTGCTGGGATTAAAGGTGTGTGCCACCACACCTGACTTTATAATTATCATTTTTACTGGTGCTTTTTATGTAGATTCAAATTACCATCTGAGGTCACTTAGTTTCAGCCTGAAGAGAACTTTAGTGTTTCTTGTGCATTAGTTCAACTAGCAATAAATTCACAGGTTTTAATTGATTTTGTTTAAAATCTGGGGAAATATATTTCACTTTCATTTTTAAATAATAGTTCCATCTTTGGTTCACATGTATTATTGAGTCTCTCCAGTTTTTCATTCCAAATTTCCATTTCGCTCCTGTGCTTTTGTGGTCTTCTCTATGCAAGTTGTCATCACACCTACCTTTTTACCAGGCTGTCTTTCAGTTCCATGAAGTTGCTTTTGGGTTTTTTGAGACAGGGTCTGACTATGTTGCCCTGACTGGCCTGGAACTCCTTATGTGGACCAGGCTGACCTTGAACTCATAGAGTCTACCCTCTGCATCCCAAGTGTTAGGATTAAAAATATGTGCCACTAAGCCCAGCTCTGTGAACATAATCTTGATGGCAGTTTTGAAATCTGTTAATCTGACATCTGGTCACCCTGCACAGACAATTTCTGTTCCCTGCTTTTATTTCAGTGTTTGGGTTATACTTTCTTTTCTCTTCAATTTTTAATTTTGACTTACGTATTTTTTTATTTTATTTTTTGTCTTTTTGAGACAGAGTTTCCATGTAGCCCCAGCTGTCCTGGAGTGAGTTCCAGGATTAAAGGCGTGTGCCACCACACCCAGCTATTTCTTTTTATTTTATGTGTATGAATGTATTGCCTGCATGTGTGTAAATGCACTCATGTCATGCAGTGCCTGCAGAGGGCAGAAGAGGGTGTTGTATCCCCCAGAACTGGAGTTATAGATGGTTGTTACCTGTCTTGTGGGTGCTGAGATTTGAATCTGGGTCTTCTGCAAGAACAGCCAATGCTCTTAACCACTGAGCTGTCTCTTGTTGTTGTTGAGACAGGGTCTTCCTGTATCCCCAGCTGGCTTGGAATTCAAAGATCCCAAGTGCTGGAATTAAAGGTGTACACCACCACACCTGGCTACTTTCTATTTCTTTATATGCTTCACAATACATGTATCAACTCCTAGTACTGCCCTCTGCCTTCCAAAGTTTTTTTATTGCCACTTCAGTGTTAGATTGAGTTGAGCAGGTTAGATTTAAGGGTCCCCATAGTCTCTCTGGGAAGATTATGGTGCTAGTGTGACTCCTTCCCAGACCACACACACCCAGCAGTTAAATGTTAAGCTCTAATTACTATAGGATTGTTCTGTGGTTGTGAACAATTCCGTTAGCAATCCCAGCACTTGGGAGGCAGAGGCAGGCGGATCTTTGTGAGTTCAAGGCCAGCCTGGTCTACATAGTGAGTTCCAGGACAGCTGGGGCTACAGGGAGACCCCGTCTCATAAAGACCGGAAAAAAAAAATTGCTATACCAAATAAACCAACTAAATTGTGGTTTCTTGGAAAGAAAGGTTCCTGGGGTCCCTCTTCCACTAATATTTGTTCTGACTCTAGGAGGGTCTCTCTCTACTGTCTTAATTCCTGGTTCTCTTGAGTAAACTAGCTGATCCAGAACTCTCCCTGTTATTTCATGATCTCCATTCTTCATGAACACATTTTAGATTTAAAATGTTCACCTTTTAATGCAAATGGTAAGAGTAATCTCTATTAGTAGCTCTCTGTTTGAAATAGCTCTGGGGCTGGTTCACCACTTCCATCATTCCTACTCTTAAGAGCTTAGTGCTGGAATGGGGTGTGAAGGGGCAAGGAGCACTGTGGCTTCACTCTTTCTATTTGACTTGGAGCCAAAGAGCTATTTTCTCAGCATTCCCAACACCTCTGCCCCCAAGCTAGTGCTAGATTGTGCTTGGCTACAACAATCTGTATTGGATGCCCACAGAAGAAAGGAGAGGAGCAATCTTGGTTTAAATACCTTAGACTCTCCCTCTTTAAACTGAATTTTTGTAGATTTTTCCTATCTAGATACTTCTTCATTTGCAGTTTGTTTTAGGGCCGTTTCCAGAGATTTTTAAGTATTACGAGTTAGGGTGGATGGGTGTGTTTTGTTTTAATAATTTTTACCAGTTTCACTGGAGTAAGCCAGCAGAGCTCCTTACATTATTGTGTTAGAACCAAGAATTCAATTCAGGTTTTTTGTTTTGTTTTGGTCTTTTTGAGACAGGGTCTCCCTGTAGCCCCAGCTGTCCTGGAACTCACTATGTAGACCAGGCTGGCCTTGAACTCACAGAGATCCACCTGCCTCTGCCTCCCGAGTGCCAGGATTAAAGGCGTGCACCACCACTCCCACCTCAATTCAGTTTTATAGGGGACCAGAGACCTCAGTTTTGTGTGTTGGATATATTTTTCTGAATAAAAACAGTATGACTGAGTAATAGTTTATAAAGATGTTGTGAGGTTTCCACAGAGTATATTGGAATTGTGAGAATACGTAACCAATGACATACAAGGGAAAGAATGGATAAAGACCTAAAAAACTACCTTCTAAAAAGAAGCATTCCAAGTCATATGAAAACTAGAATTTCCTTCCAGAACTCAGTCTGTAGTATAGGCTGGCTTTGAACTCTTGGCAACCCTGCCTCAGCCATCCAAGTACTGGGATTGCAATGTGCTTTTCTTTTTTTAATGGAGCATATTTGATGGGAGATAAAGATAACATATAAGTAAATACTATATATACTATGTATGTTTTGTATGTATGTTTTAGTATATGTTATTAACATATACTAAAAAGTAAGACTAATAGAATTTACATCCTTAATGTTGTTTCTTGGTTTCATTTTCAAGTTGAATCTTTTTCAATTTACAGTCATAAGAGGAATATGACTAATGAGATAGAGACCACTTTCCTTTGCCCTGCTTTTTATCAGGCTATTTAAATGGAAGCCATCTCCTTCCTTTTCACTGTGACAGGTTCTTACTCATTTGCCTCAGTGGTTTTTAGCTAGTGGTCCAATTAGAATTGGAATCAAAAGCTCCACAGGTGATCCTAATTTGTACACCTAGTTAAAAACCAAGGTAAATAAAAGATATAAATCCTTATCTGTGTTATATTTTTTAACTGTATCACAGTAGATTTGTACATAAATCTTTATGTAGGCCTGTTTAATTTGATAATAGGCTAAGTTTATTTTGATAGTTTCAGATGTAATGGTTTTTATTCTTAGTGTTAAGTCAACCTCATCAAAGAATAATACAATTTGTAACTTTACATTTAAAATTTTTTAAAATATTAACTTACTTAGTTTTTGTAGTTTCTCAGATTATAAACTAGTAATATAATTGAAAACCAGGCTTAAAATGATTTTCTTTATGGTTATTAATAAAAAGTTCTCTCAAACAGAAATAGAAATTATTGGCTAAGTAATTTTTTTATGAGTTTGGGTGGTTTTGGTATTTTTTGTTGTTGTTGTTCTTGTTTTTGTTTTTTGGTTTTTTTTAAATAAGGTCCCACTTTGTAGACCAGGAGGCAAGTACTGGGATTGCAATGTGCTTTTCTTTTTTTAATGGAGCATATTTGATGGGAGATAAAGATAACATATAAGTAAATACTATATATACTATGTATGTTTTGTATTATTGATATTACTCTATAATAAATAATATATAAATTTTCAGTATATAAATGTCAAGTGCTTTTGTTTCCGTTAGGGTTTTTTTTTTTGTCTTTTTGAGACAGGGTCTCCCTGTAGCCCGAGCTGTCCTAGAACTCACTATGTAGACCAGGCTGGCCTTGAACTCACAGAGATCCACTTGCCTCTGCCTCCCAAGTGCTGGGACTACAGGTGTGCGCCACCACGCCCGACCCATTAGGGTTTTTTGTTGTTGTTTATTCCTAGGTAATATTTTGCTTGCTTGTTTGTTTGTTATGCTGGAGATTAAACCCAGGGCCTAAAGTATGGTATGCACTATACTCCTGAGCTACCTCACCAACCCTTATTTTATTAATATTTTATTTCTTTTTTTATTTTTATGTGTATGTATATTGTCTGCATGTATGTATGTGTACACATGTCATGCAGTGTCCACAGAGGTCAGACAGAAGCATCAAATTCCCCTGGAACTGGGGTTATGGACAGTTTTTAGCCAACCGTTTTTAGCATGTGGGTGCTAGGAATCGAACCTGGGTCCTGTGCAAGAGCAGTCAGTGCTCTTAACTGCTGAGCCATCTCTCCAGCCCCCCTTATTTTTAATTTTGGTCCATATTTTAACTGACTTTGTAATATATCACGCTTAAGAGATATTGATGTTAATTACTTCTACATATCAAAAAACAAAATTTAGCTGGGCAAGGTGATACACATTTATAATCCAGCACTCAAAAAAGCTGAGGCAAGAGGATCACCAGTTCTAGGCCATCGTGGGCTACATAGCAAGACCTTATCTCAAGCAACAGAAATTAATCACTGAAAGAGTATAGTTACATGAAAATAGAAAGTAACAGAATTCTAGAATAAACACCCTTAGAACATACCTGAATGACAAAGATTTAGTAAGATATTAGTTAATTCTAATGCTGATAATAGAGGATGTACTAAATATAGTAGGAAAAGGGTTGGGACTGTAATAGAAGACAGTAAAGAGCAAAGGGGACCAACTGCCTCTCCTTCTAGCCTCCTATCAGTCCATCACTGTAAATGGGCTTTTCTATGGTCACACTAGAGCCACTCATGCACACTCTCTATATTGTTTTCATTTAAAAAAAAATTTTTTTCTTTTTTTTGTCTTTTTTAGACAGGGTTTCCCTGTAGCTCCAGCTGGCCTGGAACTCACTATATAGACCAGGCTGGCCTGGAACTCACAGAGATCCACCCGCCTCTGCCTCCCTCAGCACCCACATGGCAGGTAACAACTGTCTGTAACTCCAGTTGCAGGGGATCCTACACACTCTACTGACATCCTCCTCCTGCATTGCATGACATGGGTGCACTTACATACATGCAGGCAATACACTCATACACATAAAATAAAAATATTTTTTAAAAATTTTAACCATAGGTTTGGTTTGTGTTGTTTCCTAGATGTATTGTAGAAACTGAAAATTTAGAAGAAAGAGTAGCTGTGGTGAGTCGAATAATTGAGATTCTACAAGTCTTTCAAGAGTTGAACAATTTCAATGGTGTCCTTGAAGTTGTCAGTGCTATGAACTCATCACCTGTTTACAGGCTAGACCACACATTTGAGGTAGGTTTGTACATGTGTTTTTAAAATGAACTTCCATTGCCTATTTTAAAAATAGGAATTTGCATGACATGGCCATTGCAACCTTGAACTCTCATTAGCTGTGATTATCAGCATAAAACTTGCACAAGATTGGGCCCATCAACGTTGTATTGTGGAGGTAGAGGGAAGGATCACAGGACCCTGTCCCTTCCTGAGGATATAACTGTAGTTAATGGTTACTGAGGGAGGAAGAGATGTGTTTTTCTATGGTATAACCAGTGGTAAGGTGCCCATTCTCCTGTAAATAACCCCCCACCTATGCTCCTTTAAACAACCTCAGTTAAATGCAGTAAATAGATGGGGGGGGGCAGGGACAATTGAAAGGGGAGAGGAAGGGGACTAGTGGGGGGGAGCTGGCAGGAAAGGGTTATAGGGAGGTAAATATGTTCAAAATATAGACATGTAAGGTGTGTGTGTGTATCTGTGCATTTGTCTGCCACAGAGCACATGTGGAGGTCAAAGGACAGTTTTATAGAGTTCTTCCCTACCACCTTTATGTGGGTTCTGGTGATGAAGCTCAGATTATCAGGTTTGTGCAGCAAGAGCTATTACCTGCTGTGTGACTTACCCATCCACAGTCAGCATTTTATTTGTAATGCTCAATTAAATACATAAATTGTACAAAGGGCAGCAAGACAAATGTATCATGTACCTCTCTTTGTACTAGAGTCCATAAAAAAAAGTTTTTTGTTTTTTGTTTTTTTTTTTATTTTTTAAAACAATGTTAACATTCTTGGAGTCAAAGTGATATGTGTGGGCCATAACAGTGAGGCATTTTTTGATAAAAATCTGTAATTCTCTTTAAAATTCAGGCTTCCTAATTTTTTTTTCCTTATAGCAAATACCAAGTAGACAAAAGAAAATTTTAGAAGAAGCTCATGAATTGAGTGAAGATCACTATAAGAAATATTTGGCAAAACTCAGGTCTATTAATCCACCGTGTGTGCCTTTCTTTGGTAAGTATTTCTTCCTAATTTGTATTGTGCTTCTGGCTAAAACAAGACATTTATTTTATTAAATGTCTTGAGTATAGATATATGTAATATACCAGCAGAAAGTAGCACCTGGATCCCTTTAGAATCTTTGTTAGGACTTTTGAAAATCAAGTCCAATATAGATTGAGCATCTCAAATGTGAAAATCCATAATATTCCAAAATATGAAATTTTTTGAGGTAACACAAGTGGGAAATTCCACATTTTTACCTCATTTCAGGGGTTATAATAAAAGTGCCAGTTCATTACAAATACTATATAACCTTCAGGTGTCAGATGCCAGGCATGGTGGCACCCCTATAATCCGAGTATGCTGGAGGTGGAGACAGGAGAATTAGAAGTTTGAAGCCAGCTTGGGCTAATTGCAAAATCCTGTTTAAAACAAACAAAATACACCAAACCTTCAGGCCATAGATTAAGGCATATATGATATATAAATGGATTATTTATTTATTTAGAGACAGATATAGCCCCGGCCTACCTGGAACTTGCTATGTAGACCAGACTAGCTTTGATCTCACAGAGATCCATCTACGTCTCCCTCCCAAATCCTGGGATCAAAGGCATGGGCCACCACACCCATGAATTTGGCCTAGAACCCGTAGCCAACCTATTTCATTATATGTACATATTCCAAATCCACCAAACTTCTGATGTCCTTCCAATCTCTAACCATTTCAGATGAGGGCTACTCAACCTGTATAAACTTCACTATCTGTTTTCATCTTTGATAGCCATTAAGTATTATGTTATACTTATGTTTTACATTTCTTTCTTTCCTTTTTTTTTTTTTTGGTCTTTTTGAGACAGGGTCTCCCTGTCTGAAACTCACTTTGTACACCAGGCTCACCTTGAACTCACAGAGATCTGTGTATGCGCCACCACACCTGGCTATGTTTTACATTCTTAGGAATCTTACTTTGTTGTTTTTCGACAGTCTTACTATGTATCCCAGGCTGCCCTCTGAACTTGCAGTCTTTCCACTTATTCAGCATTCTTAGTGGCTGGGCTAATAGATGTGCACTGGCCTTTAGTTAATTTAATTTGATTAAGTGATGCAGAAGAGGGAATGAAAGACACATTATTGCAGAACAGGAAAGCACTGACCACTTAGAGCAGTAGTTGACAAACATACAGTCAGTTCTAGATCTATACATATACACATAATTTTAAAAGGATTAACTTTGCTAATATGTAATATAGAGATTTATATCTACATATACAAATGTTCTTTGTGATTCAAAAATGACATGTTTAAACATTTCATACTGATACAGTATATGAATAACAGAGTTTGGACAACATTGCTGTGATCATTTATTCTTTTGACTAGTCATTAATTAGGCATAAAATAATTCCCAAATTTAATCCTGAAATTTCCCAAAGTGATATTCATATTTTTATAACTTGATTCCTTTTCTTTTGGTCTTTTTGAGACAGGGTCTCCCTGCAGCCCCAACTGGCCTGCAACTCGCTTTATAGACCAGGCTGGCCTCGAACTCAGAGATCTGCCTGCCTCTGGCCTCTGCCTCTGCCAGTGCTGAGATTCAAGGCATGTGCCACCACACTGGGCTTAGATTCAATTTTTTAAACACCTGTGACATCCTGTAAACTTCTGTGGCCCCCATGATCCCAGTGCTGATCACTGTAACATTCAGTTACATTAAGCACAAAGCTCAAACTCTTCCTTACTGCTACTTCTTGCTCTTGCCCAAACCAGTTATTCTTTTGTATATGTATGCCATGTTTGTGTGGGTATGCTTGGAGGCCAGAAGAGAGTGTCATATCCCCTTGAGCTAGAGTTACAGGCAGTTGTAGATCACCCAATGTGGATGCTGGGAACCAAACTCAGGTCTTCTGGAAGCTCAGCAAGTGTTCTTAACTACTGAGCCATCTTTCTAGCCATTATTAAATTCTTGAAGGGTCTGCCTCTTCAATTTTTATCCCACCTACTGTATCTCCATTGTCACCTCACAGAGTTTTCTAATTGCTTGCCAATTGCTCTTTGGCTCTCAGTGAAGCTAGTCACCCCAGAATGCAAAGACACTTCTACCCCTCTGTTTATCTCGTGGATATAAGTTAGGAGTTTTTTGTTTTGGGGGAGTTGTCTGTTTGTTAAGAAGGGTCTTCCTGTAGCACTATCTGGCCTGGAACTCTATGTAACTAGGCTGGCCTCAGGTCTCACAGAGATTAGAGATCCTTCTGCCTCTGCCTCCAGACTGCTGGAATTAAAGGCCTGTGCCACCACACCTGGCTTTTTTTTTTAAAGGCAAGGTTTCATATGACCCTAGACTGGCCTCAAAATCAGTGTGTAGCTGGGAATTGCCTTGAACCTCTGATCCTCTTGCTTCTACCTTATAAGTACTGGGGTTAATAGACCTATGCCACTATGCCCACCATGCAAGTTAAACTGCCTAACAAGGCATTTCACCATTCGGGTACCAGGTGTTACTGTCTACAAACGCTTCAGTTTATGTCTAATTTGGAAAGTTGATTTTAGCTGCCACTAAATATGTACACTCTTAGGGTCAAGTATGTTAGACTGAATGTTGTGTTAAATTAACCGTGCAACTTGTGTAGAGACAATAGCTAGCTTTACGTTGAAGAGCCTATGCTCATTAGAACACAGAGTAACTGTTTTATGAACATACCTTGAAGAGTTGCCTTGTTACTGAAAATGGCAAGTAAATAATATACACAGTCACCAAAGGGGAATTGATAGCTGTCATGCTTTGTTATTGCTGACTGTTTTAGTATTGATTTGAGTCATTTAATCTTTTAAAGATGGTAGCAGAATATTACAGTATTTAGGACTGATGTGATGACTCAGTGGGTAAAAGTGCCTGCTACCAAGCCTGATTACCTGAGTTTGATTCTGGAGATCCACATGGTAGAAAAAGAGAACTAATGTCCTCAAATTGTCCTGACCTCCACATTTGTGCCATGGCACATGTGTGCCATACCCCCCCTCCAATTAAAAAAGAAAAGAAAGAAAAAATTATAGTGTTTAGAGATACAGCTCCTCTATGGAAGTATGTAGAACTACTCATCTATGTCTAACATCCTGCCACTCTTTCCCTCCACATATTAAACCCTTACAGTCTAGCCATATCAAACAACCTACTAGCTCTAAGAATGCCTTCCAAGCTTCATCACACATTAGTGTCACATTGCTGCTCTCTTACTCTAGCCATTAAACTCTTACTGTTTTTTGAAACTTAATCTAGTGATGCTTTTTCTACCCCCAACAACTCAAGTCAGGATAAGGTACACCTCCTTTGTGCTTCCATTGCTTCCTTATACATTACAACTAAGGTATCATCTCCTAATACAGCACTTGCCAAACTACCATAGTACTTCACCTTCAAAGCTCTGGATTCCTTGAGATCAGGGGCTCTTCCTGCACCCCACTGTGTTTATCCCTGTAGTACCTATATAGTACTTCACACATAGCAGAAAGGCAGTACATCTGTATTCTGTGAATGAATTCAGGTATCCACACCCATTTATTCTCCTGAAAGCAGCAATCAGTACTTTAGGGAGAAAAATATAAGAAAATGGGGTAAGATTCAAATAACAGCATTAACAGTTGCAGTCATAGCTAATGAATGCTTTTCTCATAGCAACCCTCACTTGAATGACTGAGGCACAGGGAGACTAAGCAATTAGTATAACAGAGATAAAGAAGCATAGCTGGTTTCTGAGCCTTTGTGCCAGGAAGAAAGGGAAATAAAATGCTCCTGGAACCAAAGAATTGAACAAATAACTAAATTGGGACTGGGGATATAGCTCAGTTGAAGAGCACCTTCTTAAGAGTTCACAAAGCCTTTAGTTCATCACCAGTACCACATAAACCAGGCATAGTGGTCCATGCCCATAATCCCAGCACTCAAGAGTTGAAGACAGGAGGATCAGAAGTTCAAAGCTACTGAAGATACATGAGATCTGTCTCAAAAACAAAACAAAAACCCTAAAGTGCCTGTTGTTTTGTTCATTCTCTTCTACCTCCCAGCTTGTAGTGGAGGGAAATTATGAGCTCAATTACTGTGTTGCCACTAAATCTAGAATATGCATAAATTATATGCAGTCCTGCATGTAATAGGCTTGCAGCTCTTTTAGACATTTCTACAAGTAAGCCTGTCCAAACAGCACAGTCTCCAGATTGCAAATAACCCCTGTGATATGGAGAACCGAATAAGCAGAAAATGTGGTCTGAGTTGTCTTTTTTCCTTTTTGGCAATAATGTTTCATCACTGTCAAGGTTAAGTTCCTTTAACAAAAATGTTGTGGGTCTTTTGTTTGGCTTTGGGTTTTGTAGTTTTTTGGGGGTTTTTTGTTTTGTTTTGTTTTTTGCTTTTTTGTTTGTTTTTTGTCTTTTTGAGACAGGGTCTCCCTGCAGCCCCAGCTGGCCTGGAATTCACTAAGTAGACCAGGCTGACTCAATCTCACAGAGATCCGCCAGCCTCTGCCTCCCAAGTGCTAGGATTAAAGGCGTGCGCCACCATGCCCGGCTTCCTTTGATACTTATAAAATTTGAGTGTTTTACAGAAGATTTAATATAAAAATATTTCTCTCGATATTTACTGAGCTTATTATTTTTCATAGAATAGAAGTCTGTGCCTTGATAGTTTGGTTACAATGGTTGAGTATCAGCATATAGGCCTACAATTAATGAGAAAGAAAACTTGCTTTTTCCTTTTTTATCCTTGAAATAATGTTATTATCTCTTCTAGGAATTTATCTCACTAATATCTTGAAAACAGAAGAAGGCAACCCTGAAGTCCTAAAAAGACATGGAAAAGAACTTATCAACTTTAGCAAAAGAAGGAAAGTGGCAGAAATAACAGGAGAGATCCAGCAGTACCAAAATCAGCCTTACTGTTTACGAGTAGAATCAGACATCAAAGTCAGTAGAATTATGTGGAGATATGTACTTTTGATTAATTTTATAAAATGCCTCATATAAAAGGCCAGGTTTAGCCAGGCATGGTGCCGCACGCCTTTAATCCCAGCACTCGGGAGGCAGAGGCAGGCAGATCTCTGTGAGTTCAAGGCCAGCCTGGTCTACATAGTGAATTCCAGGCCATCTGGGGGCTACAGGGAGACCCTGTCTCAAAAAAAAACAAAAAAAAAAAAAAAAGGCCAGGTTTATTTTGTAGAGGAGACAAAAGAAAATAAAACTTAAAATCAGTAAATTCCAATTTTCTTAGTAAATGTATTCCTAAATTATTTTCATGAATTTGAAATTTGATTGAGAATATTTAATATTAATAATCATTTTTTGCATTTATTTTAGAGGTTCTTTGAAAACTTGAATCCAATGGGAAATAGCATGGAGAAAGAATTTACAGACTACCTTTTCAACAAATCCCTAGAAATAGAACCACGAAACCCTAAGCCTCTCCCAAGATTTGTAAGCATTTCTATTCACCTTCCATATTCTACCCTTTCTGCCATTGTCATATATGTCTGGTGATATCCTTACTTCCATGTGTGTTATATAGATTAGTTTTCCATAAAAGCATTTAGGGGCAAAGTGCATATGTGATAGTTAGAAGTACTTAATAAATATACCAGGAATATCCCACTTGGTTCCAAATAAATTAACATTAATGAATTCTAACAATATATAAAAGTAAGCAAATGTGTTAAGTTCTTCATGACATTTGCTTTTAACAAAAAAGTTAAAATTCCAAGGACATGAAATTTAATGAATTTATAGTAATTCACTTTTTTATTTAAACGTTTTATTTTTTATTTTATGTGTATGAGTGTAATGCCTGCATGTGTTTTAAGTGCACCCATGTCATGCAATGCTCACAGAGGCCAGAAGAAGGCATCAGATCTGCTGGAACTGGAGTTACAGTTGTCAGCCACCATGTGGCTGCTGGGAACTGAACCTATGTCCTCTGCAAGAGTAGTCAGTGCTCTTAACCACTGAGCCATCTCTCTAGCCCCAGTAATTCATGTTTTGTTGTTTTGTTTTAGTAATTCACTTTTAACAAGTATATTTACTTGAAATTTTTTTAAGCAATGATTTATTAGAAATTTTAACTATGAGTCATTAGCCATAATAAAAGGTTTACATAAAGATATTTCAGTGGTTCTTTTATTTTGTAGTACCTAGCTAGCTGGGGGGGGGGGGGGGGGGGTTGTTTGTCTGTTTTGAGATAGGGTTTCCAGTGTAGCCCCAGCTGGCCTGGAACTCACTACATAGGCCAGACTACCCTTGATCTCACAAAGATCTGCCTGCCTCTGCTTCCCAAGTGTTGGGATTAAAAGTGTGAGCTACCATGCCCAGCACCTAGCCAGCTTTATGTACAGTGTCATCATCTCACTGATCTGAATGTATTCACTTATTATGAGAAAGTCAGGAAGTGAACATAAATGATTTCTAAGTGATCTAAATAAATCTCATAATGTGTAATGGCATCACTGTATTATAACAGTATTTTAGAAATTTTCCATTCCCTAAGATGATAAATTAACAGTCTGGTATTTATATTAAAACTCAGTTAAATAAATTAATTTTCTAACAATTTATATAGCCAAACATTCAGCAAAGGTTTAACCTGGAATGCTTTAACTTGGAATGCTTTGATCTAAATCATTATGTAATTTTCATACTGGTAATTTATAGTTTTAACTATTTGTTGAATTTTACCAAGGAGGTATTAGAAAACCTTCCTTATAACCATAGTGTTTTAAGTATTATGGTTTGTTTTTGTTTTTGATACATCTACAGCCAAAAAAATACAGCTATCCCCTAAAATCTCCTGGTGTTCGTCCATCGAACCCAAGACCAGGAACTATGAGGCACCCCACACCTCTGCAGCAGGAGCCAAGAAAAATCAGTTATAGTCGGATCCCTGAAAGTGAAACAGAAAGTACAGCATCCGCACCAAATTCTCCGAGAACACCGCTGACACCTCCTCCTGCTTCTGGTGCTTCCAGTACCACAGATGTTTGCAGTGTGTTTGATTCCGACCATTCAACAAGCCCTTTTCACTCAAGTAGGTGCTAAAATTTTAAGTGCTTTAAAGCAGTTATTCCACATGCCAGAGGTGAAAAATAATCTTTGTGTGTGTGTGTGTGTGTGTGTGTGTGTGTGTGTGAAGTTGTACACAATCTGATAATATTTCAAAAGATATAACTTTTTATAAATCTAAACTCCAGCTAGGCATGTTGGCACACACCTTTAATCCCAGCATTGTGGAGGCAGAGGCAGGTGTCTCTCTGAGTTTGAAGCCAACCTGGTTTACATAGCAAGTTCCAGGCCAACCAGGGCTGGTGAAACTTTATCTCAAAATATATTTTTAAAAAATTAAACTCCAACTTTATATCCATGCTCAGATGCCAAGGAGCTCAGAAAGTAACCGACTGTCACTAGTGAGATATATAGAGATTAGAAACGCATGTGCAAACATCTTAATGTCAATTGCTTTAAAAATGAATTTTTCTGTATGAAACTGTGTATTTTAATAATGAAATGGAGATCTTTAAAAAAAATGAATTGAAATTAAAAATTTAAGTTTTAGAGGTGAAAAAAAAAAACAAAAAAAACTCCAGGCTGGGCGTGGTGGCGTTTGCCTTTAATCCCAGCATTCAGGAGGCAGAGGCAGGCGGATCTCTGTGATTTCAAGGCCAGCCTGGTCTACAAAGTGAGTTCCAGGACAGCTTGGGGCTACAGGGAGACCCTGTCTCAAAAAGCCAATTAAAGCTGCTGGAAGGACCCTCTTTAAATTTATTACACTTTATACTCTGATTACTCTTCAGATAGTATAAGTCTTTTGGCTTTTAAATTTTATTACACTTTATTATAAAGTACATTCCAAATGCATCTCTCATCAAGAGAAAACAAAGACCATTCTTAAAAATCTGCAAGGACTGGGTTGGAGAGTTGGCTCAGGGACAAAGGGAGAAAACCTCAGATGGGAAGCTTTGTGATCTTAAACTTGGAGACTCTCTGTTTTCTTTCTAAGAAAACCCCTTACTCCTCCCTTTGCTCTTAGTAAAAACTGAAAAGAACTGGTTTTGAAATCAAATAACTCAGTATAATATAAAACTATCCACATGCTCAATGCAACTGTTACTTAAAACTCATCAATAGCTTATTTATTCTAAAGGCATTCACTGGCTTTTGACTCTACTTTTGCTTAACGTATCTATAGCTGTGGAAATTGCCAGAGCCTCCGACCTACTGCTACCCACTGTGCCTTCACCAGATTGAATACTTACTTATTTCCCAGTCAGAAAAGAGCTGCCTTGACTGTAGTCTTCCGTCATCTGAACACATTCCACTCAGTGTGAAGTAACAGTCCCATTACTTAGTTTCCAATATGTTCCTTTGTTTTTGTCTCTTACTGTAGTAGTTCCCAAAGCAACTGCTTTTAAGCATATAATTCTTTCAATAGTATCTTACCCTTGCTAAGCACTTAGCATGTTTCCTCTGGGAAAGCTTGTAGTCTTGTTGAAGGATGAAAAATAATGACAGCACAAAGAGAATCATAGTTAAATGCCTGGTGAGTGATGAAGACATGACTACTGTGGAAGTCTACAGAGAGATGACCTCAGAGTGGGCAAGACTGGTCACTGAGAGCTTTGTGGTAAAAGACAGAAGGAAATCTGCCACCTACTAGTGCTGCCTCGAGAACCCCAATATTCAGTCTCCTACTCTGTACCTTGCCCTGGCCAGGTCCTCCTCTCAGGTGATTCTGATAGTAGTTAGGAAAAAAGAACACTGGCTTATGGCTTCATTTCGCCTCTATCACAAAGAGGAGAGAATAATGAAATGCCCATAATTACCTTCCAGTCTGAAAACTGTCTAATTCTCAGAGAGCTAAAGGACTGGTCTATATGCTTAAGGTATGCTTTATCACTATCCTCTTAGTAGAAGAAGCAAGAAAAGGTATGTTGCAAGTATTTCAAGGTGGAATACAAGATTATCTTACATGCCTTTGGTACAGGGCGACAGTGTAATCTAAAATATACTATTATATATCAGGATTTTACGAGCTAAGGGAGTTATCCATTAGACTGGTGTTGTCTCCTAAGCATTAGTTTGTTTTTTCGTTTTTTGTCTTTTTTTTTTTTAATTCCTTGGGGCATTCTAATATGCAGCCAAGATTGAGAGCCATTGGTTATCTGGGATTTACACTTAAATTCTCAATTGGATTTAATTCTAACTTACTAATAAATTTATTCAGTATCTGGCTGATAAGAATTTCCAGCATATGGTTTTTGATCAAGCATATAAAACTGTAAAAGGATTTGTATGGTATTTTCCAGATTAAGCAGTTAAGAGAGAGGTGAATAAATTTACCAAATTGAATAATATATGCCCATGATATATACATATATGAGCACAGGTGTATGGATATTTTATAATTACTCTTCCAAAAAGATTGCCGTTTGCAGCATTGTGACTGTTATGTTTTTATTTTATTCTGGTATTAAATATGCTACCAGGAAATACGCTTATTTTAAGAAAAGTGAGGAAAAAATACACACACACACACACACACACACACACACACACACACACGCACGCACGCACGCACGCACGCACATCTTTTTGAGACAGAATCTCCCTGTAGTGGGGCTGGCCCGGAACTCACAGAGATCTGCCTGCCTTTGCCTCCCAAGTGCTGGAACTAAAGGCGTGAACCACCATGGGACATCTTAAAGAAAATTAGTGGCAGAACAGCTTCAGGTAACTTTGGAGTATAAAATTGAGTTTTAGTCCTCTGAGAGAACTCACTAGAAGAAGCTGAGTTGTTGCACTTAGTAATCATAGGTTCCAATTTAGCAGTAGTATAAAAAGGAGATAATTTTATATGACCACTGTATTTATGTAAGCAATCATGTTAGCAAGAATTATCAGATTAACTGAACCTGGAAGGTACAGTTCTCCTCATGATCAAATAATCTGGAATAAACTAGGTCCCAAATTAATTTAGTTACTATGTATCGTATAAAATTGAAAGGAAAATCTGAAGTTTAATCAGCTCAGTGTAGTTCTTTAAGGATGATTTTTGCCAACTTTAATATTTTCTGTTCCGTATATTGGTAGTACAAGGCAATGTAACTATGCTGATTTAGAATTAGCATAGATATCCCAGCCCTTGGTCTCAATTTTCCTACTTTAATGCTTTGGTGGCTTTGGCTTTTTATTCTCCCCCTCCCCTTAAAAAATATTGTTGAAATTAGTCATTCCTAACATATCAAGGCGTTTCCTAAATAAAAATGTATAAGCACCAAGTGTGTATTGAATTTTCAAGTGTTTTTGAATACAGAGTGAAGAAAGCTTTATCAATTTCAAGCTTGTTTTAATATCCAAAATTTTATTTTATAACTATGTTAGAACACCTTTTCAAAGATATGTAGTAATATCACTCTAATCTTTAGCAAATGATATGAGTCTAGTTAAATTCTTCACTTGAATTGGGTTTTACAGAGTTTAAAAAGTCATCCAGGGAGCAAGTGAGATGGCTCAGTGTGTAAGGTGCTTGCTGCTAAGCCTTATGAACCTAGTTCAGTCTTGAGTTCATATAGGAGAGAAATGATTTCCTCAAGTTCTCCACACATACAGTGTCACACACACACACACACACACACACACACACACAATAAGTAAATAAATAAATGTTTTTAAAAGTCTCCCAATAATATAGCATCATAGTTTTGGCTTCTAATGAATGTTTTTCCATTTATATTATGACATTAAGTAGTAAGTCCAAAAGAAAGCTTCAAAATTCCCAGTATGATATTAACTCTTTTCTTTTCAAAAGTAAATAGTAATGAGCATTTTCCAAAAACCAAGAATAGCACTGTCATAATAAATTTCATGAATGAGTTGACTGTATCAATGGAAGAAAAAAAATTCTACTTTTTCTTGTTTCCTTCACAGGCAGCGATACCGTCTTTATCCAAGTTACACTGCCCCATGGTCCAAGTTAGTATATTTGGTTTAAAATAATTCTTGCTTTGGCTTTAAAAATCAGACCAAGTGTCACCTTTCCTGCTAAGACTCTCCTTGGTCTGGCAGTATTGGGGCTGCTTGTACCACCTTGAAGTGAGGCCTTCACTTGTGCTGTCTTTTAGACCATCAACAGTTTGCTTAAATTTATAGATTTCTCATGCTTTTTACAAAACCCTTTTCTCTTTTAAAAGAACATATTAAAAGAGTGGCTTCCACATTTAACCATTTCTCTTTTCCAACTGTAGAATTCTAAATATACTTAATTCTCAACTTTGAAAAAAGAAGCAAAAGCATGCATGCGGGTATGGGAATGCTGACAGCTATGTGCAGTGTCTAAATCACAAAATATACTTGGCCTGCTGACAACATAAACTGTAGGCATATAACTGCTTTTTTCTTTATAAGGACTGTCTTATAGGTGTAACTGTTGAAATTATGAGGCCAAAATATTGATAGGTAAAATGAAGTGGCATAGTAGTTCATTGCTTTTGAGTTTTAAACTAAAAGTTCATTATAAATCCCATTATTTTTTGTTTTTTTAAACAAATTAATGGTTTTACTCTTCATATAAAATATGTACAATAAAATATTAATTATAAACTAAATTAACTGTACATAGTCTCTTAAAATGTAGGTGATGAAAATGTCTCAAAATGTTCATGGTCCTAGAAGGTGGTTCAGTGGATAAAGTACTTGCTATGCAAGCATTAGAATCTGACTTCACATCCCCTAGAATCCACATAAAAGCCTTTTCTCTTTTAAAAGAACATATTAAATGAGTGGCTATAACCCCAGTGCTGGGGAGCAAAGGCAGGTGAATCCCAGGAGCTCTCTGGCCAGGCATTCTAGCTAAAATGGCAGCTCCATGTTCAGTAAGTGACCCTGTCTCAAAAAATAAAGTAGGCAACAATAGAAGAAGGCACACAACATTGACCTCTGGCATGCACACGCGCCCCCAACAAGTGTACATATGACACATGTGCATGCATGTACACACACACACACACAATGTTGATAATTTGAATACAGGTGCACAGAATACTCTTTACAATCTATATTGTTACAACACTTAATGGAAAATAAAAAAGCATAGTGCTTAAGGAATAAAAAGAGCCTGCCAAATGTGGTTTTGAATGTTTTAAGTATTTTTCATATCTCCTTACAGTGTTGTCTTTCAAAGCATAATTACTCAGGTGCCATATTATGCCCTTGTTACTGTAAATGTCTGTCAGATGGGTTCTAATTTTACTTACCTTTTCTGTGCCGTTTCATCAACTTAAATTCTTAAATCAGGGTCACTAGATTTTAGTATAATTTCTGTTTTCATTATGAGAGCCCCCCTAGCACTTTTAATGGCTCCATCATGGTTAAAGTTTTTGGACCAGATGTGATGATTCTCATTTTGCTTGCATGCTAAGGAGAGTACAGACCCAAGCAAAATGAGAAGAGACCTTAATAAGCACTAAATTCTCCCATGCATCATTTAAGAGAATTGCTCGATAGAGACATTGTGGAGAGCTGTTAAATATCAGAAAGTAGTTATAGAAACTATCCAATAAGGGCACAGGGGACCTCTGTTAATAAAACTAGAGAAAAAAAATGAACTTACGACAGTTTTGACAAAAGTAACCATTCCAAAGGTTGTCAAATTGCCTTGCCAGCAGAAATCTGAAAATAAGTCCCAATTAAAAGTTCCGATAATAGATCTAACAATGATAATGTTATTTTGATCAAGTAGCAAAATAACAGTATTTTAGGAAGCTTTTTCTAAAAATTCTGCTAAAAAAATTTCTGCATGTTTTATAGCAGTTTGTTTTAATGTGTAGACTATTATTGGGTATTGGTTTATTAAACTGCTTTTGATACTTAACACATTTCTTTTAATAAATACAAGCAGTCTTCAGCTAAACCTTTTCAAGACTAGTAAGTAAAAGTCCCATAATCTTTAAAAAAAAATTAAAATCCTACAGGATCTGCTTCAGTATCATCTATAAGTTTGACCAAAGGCACTGATGAAGTGCCTGTCCCCCCTCCTGTTCCTCCTCGAAGACGACCAGAATCTGCCCCAGTGGAATCTTCGCCATCTAAGGTAAAGTAGAGAATCTGGTTATCTGGAAATTGGAATCATTAGCCATAGTCAGTTGTGTAGTCTACTTCTTACTGGGATAGGTTAACATTTCAGAGTATTTGGGCTTAAGAGTTTAAGGATTAAATATGAATTTAGCATGCAAGATGTTTATTTCTTACAAAGGTAGCTTTGGGGTATGCATGCAAAACCCTAAAAGCTTAAAGCTATGAGCATTATCAAGGAAAAGAATAAGTTTTAATCTATAAAGTAATGGTAATTTATTCTCATGCAGTTCTTTTAAAACATAGGACTAGAGAGAGATTTTTTAAAAGAAAGAGAAGGAAAGAGATCTGAAGCTTGTGTGAAGGTGTTATGTAAGTGAAACTGTTCCTGAGTATGTGGTAGAAGTTACTTATCTGACCCAAATAGGGGCCTAAATGGGCTTTCCATGAAAATTCTGGGTTAGAGACCCCTATAAATACTCAAAATGACTAATTTTCCTACCTGTTTAAATTTCTTTTTTAAAAATAAATTTCCCTAGCTATTAATTCATTGGTCTTAAGCTGTTGAGAGAGCAGAAGTACCAAGATAAGTCAAAACCTGAAGATACCATGAAATGTTAATATAGTACATTTAAATTTTAAAATTTAGGGTTGGGGTGCAGCTCTGTGGTAGATTGCTTGCCTAGCATGCACAAGACCCTGCATTTAATCCGTAGCACTGCAAAAGGAAAAGAATTAATGGGTAATTTATGCTAAATCAGAAATTGTACATAAGCAAACAGTAGTAAACAACAAAATTTTGGCTTAACCTTGGCAAAATTAATTCTTTTCCTATGAATTGGCAGAATATCTCATTTAAGGATAAAGGTGAAACTCCCTGTCCTACACCTAGTGTTCTGCCAATAGCATGTTGGAAAACCCTAACTTAATTCTTAATATATTTATGGTACTGTACAAACTAAATTATTAATAAATGTGTTCTTTTCATTTGGTAGATTATGCCTAAGCACTTGGACAGTCCCCCAGCTATTCCTCCCAGGCAACCCACATCAAAAGCCTATTCACCACGATATTCAGTATCAGACCGGACCTCTATATCAGACCCTCCTGAAAGCCCTCCCTTGTTGCCACCACGAGAACCTGTGAGGACACCTGATGTTTTCTCAAGCTCACCACTACATCTCCAACCTCCCCCTTTGGGCAAAAAGAGTGACCATGGCAATGCCTTCTTCCCAAACAGCCCTTCCCCCTTTACACCACCACCTCCTCAAACCCCTTCTCCTCATGGCACAAGAAGGCACCTGCCATCACCACCACTGACACAAGAAGTGGACCTCCATTCCATTGCTGGGCCACCTGTTCCTCCACGACAAAGCACTTCTCAGCATATCCCTAAACTCCCTCCAAAAACTTACAAAAGGGAGCACACGCATCCATCCATGCACAGAGATGGACCACCACTGTTGGAGAATGCCCACTCTTCCTGAGTTCCTCTATACTGGGATGTACAGTTTCTTAGCCCCGAATCCATTGCTGGCAATGGATGCACTGAACATGCCAGCACTGAGGAGTTAAAATGAGAACTCCGAACACTAATGACTCTACTTCAAGATGTAGTATAAGACAATGAATTTTAACCTACACATAATTACAAAATGAAATGAGTATTCCAATTTAGAATATGGAAAGACTGAGCTAGAGGAATTGGACAACTGACCTGAAAATCACATGAAGGGACTTTTCTGGCCAATAGGCAAGAGTCTTCATTTTGTGAAGTGATCTTTATCATTAAAGGGATGGAAAACAGTCTGATGTCTAGCAGGCCCACATGATGACAGTTTTTTAATTAAAGATGTTAATGCACTTTTTAAGAATCTTAAACAGGGATCTTACTATCCTCCTTTGTTTTCCTTTGCTTTACTCTTCTACTTTAGAATATTTTCGTAAAAATCATTCAAAGGACTGTGAGGAAAGGCTGTGGTACCTGACCTTGTTGAAATCAAGGCCCAGCACTGTATTACAGTCCTGTTTACAGATTATTACAATGAATTGAATGGGTACCGAGGCTTCACCAAAGAGGTACTTTTTTGTTGTTGTTATTGTTTTAAGATAATTATACCAATTTAAAGAACATTGCCTGCCCCCCCCAACACAAATAAATTGTGGTGGTGTTGCCTTCAAGAAGTTTTGTGTCATTAATATGACAGAAGAATTGCTTAAAAATGCAATCGTCAAGTATACTATTTACATTTAGGAGACTGTTAATCTAAGCTAGATTGTCCTTTTTTCTCCCTTGTCCCACAAAGGTTTACTGGTAATATGTGTCCTGGCTTGTAGCTGTCCCTCTAACCGTACCATGGAAATGCAGGCATCCAATGTGAAAAGGAGCACTTGCTGGGCTCACTGACACCATCTATGTTTTACTAATAGTCCAATAGTCAACATACCTAGAATTCCTTGCAATGCCTAAATCATGTGTATATAGTGAATGTTATATAATATACCTGGCAGGTCTGTTTCTATTTAATTGAATAAAGATACAAATACTTTGTTTGGCTGGCATATATTAAATTATTATGTGGCAAAAATGGTTGATCTTATTTCTTTCTGTTGAAAAACATACAAACACTAAGCATAAAAGCACATGTTGTGGTACGGCTTGGCTTCTAGTTCTGGATATATGTTACAGAATGATCTAAAGTTAGAGTTTGGCATGTGGGAAGATATTGGATAAAAATAGGATGGGTGTCCTTTAAGCAGAACCTTGTAGGTTTTTAAATTTCCTAAGCAACATGTATACAGTTCGTTAAGGTTTTATGGAACATTCTGCCTTGCTTAAGGCCCTTCTGCTCTATCAGAGGAACTCCTTGTAACCCATCTACCTGCATCATTGGTATCATATGATTATTCATTAAGCCTATGTACTGTGACTGAAATGCATGCAACTCGTTGAAGAGAAAAAGTTTTATTAATCTCCACTATGTGAATTGTGCAGTATTCCATCCTTAAAGAGTCATCAATTCATCAGTATCTGCATGTGTCCTCTGAATAATGAAGCAACATTTCAGTAATTCTGTTAACTATGTTGTGAGAGACATTTTTAGAAGTGCTACATCATGATGGAAACCTAGATGTTAATAATTTCCTGTGATATTTATTAGAGCATTAAATGTACACCACAATAGTACAGTATATAGTCCTTTAAGACCAGAAAACACATTAACTGCACCATCATTAAGCAGTCCATCCTGTCATCTCCTTATTTATTTGTTAAGGGTTGAACCTTTTTTGTTTAATATCTATACCATTCCTATGATAGCCATTCTTCTCTTGGTAAAATGTTTCCTCTTTTAAAAGTGTCCTCAAAAGTTCATTTCAAATCCCCTCTTGGATGTGGTGTCCATAAGACCATTCATTCAACAAATATTTAAGCGGACTTTACTAGTGCTGCTACATACAGTTAATTATGGTACACATTCCAGAATCTCCCATGACTTTTAATTGGGCCAGCCTAACTGTCCCTAGGATTTCCCTTTTTATGGCTTATTGCTCACCTTTTTATCATCCCATCCCTATTTCAACTGAGAACCCAAGAAAAGCCACATTGGAGCCCATTCCATTCATACTCTGGCAAGTATGTTCCTACTTCAACTGAGAACCCAAGAAAAGCCACATTGGAGCCCATTCCATTCAGTATCTCTGGCAAGTATGTTCATTCAACAAGTGACCCCATTCTATCTTGCCTGAGCCTACAAGGAAGGGAACACTCAGATTTGGAGTTCTGATCATACTTCTCCCAAAAGGAACCATTTTTTTATCCCGTGGTTCTAGGAGACCACTTCACTGTGCAGCCATTTTATATGCATTGTGGATAGAGGATATTTTTATTCTCAAGTGTAACATTTGGGTAAAAATATTTTCTGTAGTGGTAAGTGATTTTAAAAATTCCAATTGGATGTCCTTAGGTGGAAGCAAGAAAACTATATCCTTCTTCTCATGTGAAACATTAGCTGACAAATTTTCTTAGTCATAACTAAAATATACTTAATCAGGGACAAAAAGTGGCAGAAGATACATGCATTGTTACAAAACTCTGCATTTGAATCCAGGACATTATAAAGCTGTCAGTGCATCAAAATTTGGCTAACTACATTCCAAAATGTGGAACATTTCTTTGAAAAGTGGAAATATTTGAGAATGATCAATTAGCCTTGGGTCACAAAGTAAAGGGAATTTTTCAAAACTGAATTTACTTATTGGGCTCTTAACCAGTAAAATAGAAATGCTTTTCACATATAAGCACTTTTTAAAGTAGGAATAAATCAGTACATGTTTCCAATTTTATTAAAAAGACAGGTTATTTACTCTTCTTAGTCCTTTAAATGTATTTTAAGACTACAAATGACAAATACTGAAAGTCTGCTTAATTTAAATTTTTTTTGCTTAAGTGAGGGTTATTAGGCATCAAATTCTGAGCTTAGTCATCTCTGACTCGGGATGTTTCAATGGATCTGAGTGGAGCAAAGAGTCTGCCACATGACACAATCAGCAAAAAGTCTACTAAAGTACTATTTCAGTTTGAGGCTGTACTATGGGTCTAAATTCTTCCTTCAGGATTTTTTCATAAACAGAATTACTTTATAAAAACCAGAAAGTGGTATTTATTATCATGATTTTATGATTAAGTTTAGCTCACTTAAGAGTTGTTTCATTATCTTAATAGGTGTCCTAAATTCAGGGTATTTAGTGGCTCAACAAAGCAAATGGGGAGTTGTCCCAACTAGTGTACATACAGAACACCTTTGCTTCCCTCAGATTTGGAAGCAATGGAACCATTTCTTTCTTGAGATTTTGCTGCTGTGGATAGGTTTACATGTTATTTTGACCTATATTATGTGACTTGCACAAATGTAGGTCCTGTTGTATTGCACATTAATCTTTATCAGTAAGTACATATCACAAGGTTACGGTCAGTTTGGCTGAAAGAGAATTATGTGGTAAAATTATAAGGGAAAGTGACTATTCAGTGTTTTACTTTCATTTGAAATAGTACTAACTTTTAAAATAATGTCATAGTCCCTTATACAAGAAACTGAAATATTTTGAGTTCTAATTTAGAAAAGAATGAAGTCTACATGATAAATCTAAACAGCAAAAGCACTTGTAACTTCTTTTATAAGTTTCATGCCTTATTTCCCATTTTTGATACCATAAAGTGCATTTTCTGTCAACTGTGAGCAAATTTCCCTTTTGCCTTTAATGACAATAGTGCATTAAGTAGCCAGTTGCTGTAAAATTATAAAGCAAGTTAGCTAAAGGTGGGTCACATTGAACAACCACTCAGTGAATCAAGATGCATAGAAAATGGAAGTTACCATGTGGTGTGGCTTAGAGTGTGCACCTGTGCCAGATGCATGCCACTTTCAGTAGCTGCCAGATGTGCCTTTTACTAAGAACATCTCTGATTTTTTTCTTCAGATCAAGTCAGCATTTGGGGGTGGGATTAGGGCAAGGGATTTGGGGGCACAAAAGCTGGTGAAACCACCAGAGAATTTGTTTGTCAAAGTGACATGTATAATTTTAGTTGATGTGTCTGTGTATATATGTGTATTTGCCTTTGTTTAGTAGCACGATTATTTGCTAAAATAATTGTCAGAAAAAATGCTCTGTCAGTCTTACTTTGATGTAAGAACAAAGTGTGGTCTATACATCTAATACAGCCTTTGTACCTAACCATGTTCATAGGTAATCTTTGTACTCTGTGTGCAGCAGTATTTTGTTTGAGTTCAAAGTGAAAATAATAGCTGTTATTTTTCTGGCATTACTAAGATAAACCGAAAAATAATAAAGAAAAATGCCTTACATAGCCCACAAGTGTATTATTTTGCATGCAGTTTTTTTTTGAGGGCACATTTTTAAAGTCATCAGTGACAGTCATTTCACCTTATACTTCCCACATAGAAATAGTTTACATTATGGTATTACTTTGGGGATACTTTCCTATAACAAGTTACAATAGGGTAAAATAAGTTGTGTGTCAAATCCTGTGACTATAATGAGTGGGAGGCCCTTGGGGTAGCAGTTAGCAAAGTGGCCCAGGGTATAGTTGGGATGAAGTGTCAGGCACAGTTCCCTGACAGTCAGCTTTTACTGAGACCTGCAGTTTGACTTCACAAGTCTTTCTAGGTTTGGTATGAGAGTAAAGAGCTTAAAAGAATTATGCAAATATGAGGTCATTTAAGGTATCCTATAAAATACAAATGTTGAAGCATTCTTAGACATTCAATCCATTTATTTCAAAATAAAGGCAGACTGGATCTAATGGTGCAGGCCTGTGATCCCAGCTACTCAGGAGACTTGAGGCAAGAAGATTACAAGTTCAAGGAACATCTGGGCTAAAGTGAGTTCAAAACCATCCTGGCACCTGTCTCAAAAAGGGGATGGGGATGTAGTTCAGTGGTAGAGTACTTGCTTAGCATGTGCAAGGCCCTAGTTTCAGTCTCCCATCACACACACAAAAAAATTTTTAAAGGCAAGTGAGGAGAAGCGATGTGACTTAGGCAAAGTGATGTGTCAATGACTGAGACTCCATATTGATCCTTGGTACTTGGAGGAATGCTTTTAGGAATGCCTAAATGGTTATTCCCAGCTTGTATTACTGAATGTATTGTAGATAATCAGGGTTAAAAGCTATAAGTAAATAATATTAACGTTGATTTAGTTAAAGCTTCTAAATTTGCTCTTGAAATGTTATGTTTGAACTTTTACCAGGTGATTTGCTTTTTTTGCTTTTTAAGTCAAGCTAAGTCATCAAAGATGAGAACACTTAAGTCTCAAGAACAGGGATAATAAGACCAGTCCCTCTGTCTTTTTGCACATTTGACAGAATACAATTCCAGAAAAGCAATTTGGTCATTCTAACTTTTAGGACTCCTGATATTTACTGGAGGCAACAAAAACTACCAGCTGTTTAGTAGCTGGTGTCCCTACTTTAATAACTCATCAAGAAGTATCACTGTGACAGTAAGCAGGTGCCTTGCTATCAGACTTGCTTATAATCTGCTTCTATTACATGACATGAATGACTGGAGAAGTTACAATATCTATTTCTCACCAATACAAGGACAGTGATAAATTATCTAGGACATGTATGAAGTTGAAAGGTAATGTGTATAAGGCACAATGACTTTCACAAAATATATACATATGGCAAATAAAATTATAAAAGTCATATTTTCAGTTTGCCTGCTTTAGGTTGTTTGTTGGCTGTTTATATCTTATTCCCCATGATTTGATTCATTATGGCTTCCTTTGCTGTTTCTTGACACATAGATTGGTTTTAAGTGGTCTTAAACTATAAACATTTGATAAAAGCCCATCTGACTATTCAACTGTCAACAAATATTGGTCTTTTTCCTGGTGTTAAGAATACAGTAATAAGGGGCTGGAGAGATGCCTCAGTGGTTAAGAGCACTGACTGCTCTTGCAGAGGACCCGGGTTCGATTCCCAGCACCCACATGGAGGCTATGAACCATCCTTAACTCCAGTTCCAGGGGAATCCAAAGCCCTCTTCTGACCTCCCCAGCACTGCCTGACACGACATGCAGGCAATATACTCATACACATAAAATAAAAAATAATAAAATATTTTTTAAAACACAATAAATCCATTTCATGGGATTTATAAGCTAAGTGAGAAGATGTGGACAATAATTAATTAGTATAGTAACTAGATTAGTATACATCTATTAGTATACAAAAAGTAGTAACTGCTATGAACAGTGAAAGGATAAATGACTGAAAGTGTGGAAGAGTGGTAAAATTTAAGTATGCCTTGCAGAGATAACATACAAATTTGAAGAGATGAAAGAATGCAACACCAAGTTCTTAAAGAAGAGCCAGTTCAGTAGCCCAGAGGCAGGTGTGTACTTACTATATGTGAGGACTGTGGGAGCTGCTAGTGTGAGCAGAGAAATGAGTGTGGATAGACTAGAAGGAGATGCCGTTGGAAGTTTAATGAATTCTGGATCGCTTAAAGGTTTAAAAGCCACTGTAACGTTTGAGAGCCCTTAGAGGGTTTAAGCAGAGGAGTGATGTGATCCAATTTATATTATGGTTGCTGTATTGAGAATCACTAAGAGTGGGAATGGTGAGGTCAGCCCATAGAAAGTGGTTTGGACCAGGGCAGTGGCAGTGGAGATGAGAAGAGTCATAGCAGGGATGTATTTGGAAGACGGTTTACTAATAGACTGAATGTGGTGTAAAAGACAGAACTGTCAAGGTTTTGGGCCAGAACAATTAGAAAGAATGGTTACCATTAGCTGAGGTAGGGAAGGTACTGTTGAAGAACACACAAGATACAAGTTTCAACATTCAAAAAATAGATCATCTATGTCAAGGGGGAAGCAGTTGGAAATAGCCTGCAGTTGGAGAAAGGTCTAAAGATGTAAAATTGGCAGCTTTTTCATAAAGATCATTTGGAGGGGAGGGGCTGGAAATAGAACCCAGGGCTTTGTGCATATTTGGCAAGTGCTCTACCACTAAGCTATATCTCTGATCCAGAAAAATAATATTTTAAAGTCAAGAGACTGAATAAGATCTCAAAAAACAAAACAAAACCACATAACTGCTGGTGAAGAAAGTTGAAAACCAGGAGTATGTTGAGTTCTCAAGGCCTTGTAAAGTAGGATGTGACCTTGCTACTTGATACCAGAGTAAGATGGCTGAGGTTGGAGCAGGTGATTAGCAGTGAGGAAGCCATTAGTGATGTCTCTGTTATTTTGTTGGGAGGCCACAGGTCTTGCTGTGTAGCCAGGCTGACCTCAAAATCATGATCCTCCTGCATCCACCTTCCAAGTGCTCGTGTGCTAGGTGTGGGCCACTGCCTCCATCAGTGATCTGCAGTTTGGGAGCAATGGGACAAAAGCCAAGGTGCCTAGTGAGTTTAATAAAGAATGTTGCAGGAAAGGAACTGGAGTGGTTTTCTCTTGTACATTTTACAATAAAGTAGAAAACTGGGGAACAGAAGGGGTCAAGAGAAGATTGCTTTTTTATATATAGATAGGAAAAATAAGAGTATGTTTACATAATGCTGAAAGGTCTGCCTTGGGTAGGAAGAAAGTGTGACAATGACAGGAGATGGGGCCTGGTGTTAAACTGAAGCACAGATGTTATCTTTCAACAGTGCTTTATAATGAATTCCATTGTTTTTAGATGAATAGCTGTATACACATGAGAAACAATTCAGTTTTCCTGCAAAGAATTAGGAGTATTCCCTGTTACTATGTCTGAAGGAATGATAATTAAAATTGTCTAACAAATAGGGAACATGTTTAAATGACTTAAAATAAGCACTAAGCTTGTGAAAAATAGATTTTAGAAAACAAGTTATTTTGAGTATAAAAATATTGACTATTTTGAACATCTAACAATTTCTCAAAAAGGCATTTTGTAGAGTTGCCTAAATTAATATTGTTATGTTCTTATATGTTCAATACTTAAATGTTAAATATTGATTTCAGCTGGGGGGGCGTGGCTCTGTGGGTAGAGTGCTTGCAGAGCATGAATGATGCCCTAGGCTTATTCCCTAAAACCACATAAACCAGTTGGTGGTGGCACATGCCTGTAATCCCATCGTGTGGGGGATAAAGGCAGGAGGATCCAGAGTTCAAGGCCATCCTAAGCTACATAGTAACTTTGAGGCCAGACACTTGGGACTATCTAAATACATATGTGCATATTTATATATGTTTATATGCCTGTGTCTCCATTTTCTCAACCTTATTAAACTCATGTCCCTGTCTTCCCTCTTTTTTCTCAACCCCTCTCAACCTTGTAAGACTTACTGGCATAAATACCATTAATACAAAATTGTCTGATGGCTAAGAGCTGCACTTACATCTTTAAATCATTTTTTTTTTTTTGGTCTTTTTGAAATGGTCTCCCTGTAGCCCCAGCTGGCCTGGGACTCACTATGTAGACCAGGCTGGCCTTGAACTCACAGAGATCCACCTGCCTCTGCCTCTGCCTCCCAAGTGTTGGGACTACAGGCGTGGGCTACCACGCCCAGCTAAATCATCTTTTAAGAGAGGAGAATACCAACTTAACTGAAAGCATTGCTGTTTTAGACTCTTGAGGAAAGTTACTAATGGCACTATTTTCTGAAAAAGTTTGGCCTGAACACTAGTTTTATTATATAATGTTATGTAAGGCATGTAGTCACTTTTAAGAGCTTACAATTGATTCTCTTGAATACACAATTTGCCAGTTTATAGTGTATTCATCGTGTATATTTGTATTTTTAATCAAAATCTTACTGTCTATACCACTTGTTACTATAAAGAGCATAGATGATAAATTTAGCAATATAAGAATTTCACTTGGGTTTCAATGGATTGTTAAATTTCTGGCTCAGATAAGTCTATTCAATTCTTTATTCTGCCCTAAAATTCAGTTTATTAAAAGGCAACTGCTGAAATTTACATACTACATCATCCAGTTTATTGAAAAATATCTCAGTAAAACAAAGAAAATCACAGCCTGGGTGTATTGAAAATGCAGACTGGTGGACTCCCATCCCCAACTATTCTAATATAGTGAGACTAAAACAGTGCCCAGAAATCTGTAGTTTTGCAGGTGTCATCATGGAGATGACATAAGACTTGAAAGAGGAGATGAGACATGAATGAGCTGTTACAAAAACTACCAAGTCAAGGGTTTCCCTGATGATCCAGATTCAAGTCTCAGATTACCTTAAACTACCTATTACATGATGCAGTAGCCCACAGAAAAATGAGGGGATTTAGCCTGGATTTTAGGATTAGCAGAAGTAAGGACATTAAAGCAAGAGTGAGCCTAGGCA